TGGTGTGGTAGTTAGGAAAGGGGGTGCCAACTCAGGTGTCATCCGCATCACTTGACCATGGTTCAAAGTTACGCGGACCGTCGTCAAAAGCCCTCGTGTTGCTAATCAGTGCGACGTTAATATTCTCTCACTGAAATATTATGTTTGTTAAGAGCAACAATAAAACTGGAAATTTAACTCGTTTGAATTGAAACGGTAAATCAGTGGGGATACTTGGAATTCGAGGTATGATAACACTAACCCTTTTCATGACATATGTTAAAATATTGGCACCAAGTATATTCTGTATCAGTTTTGTGTTACAAAGCCTCGTTCCTTTACATAGTCGAGGAGCATCAATATTTTGCATAAGTTTAACTGGTATATTTAGTTTTAATTGAAACTTATGTGAGGGTACACCGGAAAGTTCAAGTGAATTTAAGAACTCCGTGGGATATGAAGTACTTTTTTCTTTATCCATGATTGTATTCAATGATAAATATTTCTTCATTTCCCCCCCCCCCCGCACGTCGTTTAAAGTTTCAATGTTGATTTTATGGACAATGTCATTGTTAGGCGCCAATATTGATCTTGCGCGCAACCACTGATCCCAATTTAAATTTTGTTAAAAGCCCGGGTAAATTTGAGCAATAAGATTTACATCATTTTCTCTTCTACATTACAAAATTCTTTGGAAGTAAAATATAACCTCCAGCAATTTGCGTCCAAACATCCATAACCGATTTTCAATTGCGTCTCTGCATAATGTTCCGAATCTTCGTCATTATGAAGATACACTCTTATATTCGTTTTCAGACTGAAATTTTCAACTTTTGCCCATAAGCTTGATGATTTAATAGAGACTGATTTCATCTGCCGGTGTACTCCCTCTGGGTTACAGGGAGAGTTTTTCGAAATTCACCAGCCAATCTATACAAATAAGTAAAATTGAAGTGTCTGTAATTTCAAATTAGCAGCTAATCATTCCAAAATCATTTAGCTTCTTCCCAACCATTCTGAAAACCTTTATTGCGTTTCATTGTAGATGTGTTAATTGAAAGGCATATTTGCTTGTATTTGCTGCAATCGTCGCCAAATATTTTCCGCCATGTAGTCTTTGTACTTATTCAAAAAGGATTGAGGATTAGAAAGACCAAAGATGAAATAAGTATTGCGTAAAGCTCTCTAATTTTATTCGGCGAGTGACATTGTATGGCTTCCTCCATAGTAATATCTAGTATATCTTCAAAGTAATACCTCCATATGTAAAATATCTAAGTTCAGTATAAGTGAAAAATTTTGTGCCAAATATGAATATTGTATAAATAGATTTAAAAAAATTCAAAGTAGTAAATATTCGATAAGTTAAATTTTTTTATTAAACTGTCAATTAATATTACCATAGAATTTTCAATATCACGCGCGCAATTCGCTAAAACTTTATTTAGTTTCCCTCTTTAAAAAGTGGGAGAAAATTTGCATTAAAATATCTGGGATTGTTGGAATAGAGAATTTCTTAGCCAACTTGGCGATATTTCTCAAAGTTTGAGCTGACATTTAACAAACGTAACGTAATAAACGTTAGACATTCAATAAAAAAACATTTAAAAAATTGTTTTTTCTAAAGATGCTAAATTACACTGTGTTTCAGTTATTTGTTACAAATGTGAGAACAGTTTTATTAAAATTTCCATTATTGACCACAAATGCATAATTTTGCGCCAACTCGGCGGGGAGTAAGCAATGTCCCACGGTTTTATCCGCATAGTTCCCGTTCCCATAGGAATATGGAGATAAAATATACCCTATGTTACTCGCTGATAATGTAGCTTTCCATTGGTGAAAGAATTTTTAAAATCGGACCTGCCGTTTCCGAGATTAGCCGGAACAAACAGACAGACAGACAGACAAAAATTTTAAAAATTGATTTTTTGATATAAGGACAGCATATACCTTTAAATGCATTTAGAAAAAAGCTGCTAATTTGAAATTACAAACAGACACTTCAATTTTATTTATTTGTATAGATTGATCTTTCATTCGTTTTTTTCTATGTATTCATTATGGCAGTATACTGTTTAATTGTTCTACATTTGTGCAATTTTTTATACTAAGTAGTTTTAAATAAGATAATTAACAGTTCATAAAAGTTTCAGACTATTCGATGAATATTATATCATGCTATTCATTGAATGAAAACTTCAAACTCATGTTTCTCCATGTTGAATTTTTGTACATATTCTGTTATTCAAAACCCTAAGGCTTTTTTGACAATTGAAGTATGGGTTTGATATTTTTTATACATGTTCTGAAATGTATGTTTTGTAAAACTGTGCTGGAATTAGCGCTAACATGTTTAGTACTTTTTCTAAAAAATTTCAAAATCAAATTTAATGTTTTTTTGAGAATTTTGGGGAGTTTAACTACAAAAAAATTAATAAAAAATTAAAGAGCAGTAGCAGAGAAAAAACCATGCACAGTTTTATGTAGTATAGTATAAGGTGCTTGGAAAACAAATTTGAATAAAAAGAGACATATTAAGAAAAGAGAAGGCCTTAGTGATTTAAAAAATGCTTAAAAAAGCTAAAAAAATTTAAATTTTACAAACATTTTGCAACAAATTAAATTTTTTTTGTATGGAATTATTATTTAATATTAACCTTTATGAAATACAATTAAAACCAAATATCAAATATTAAAAATAAAAAAAATTGTGAAGATGGTACCATATTGCCTTAATGGAAGAAAATAGTAAATTTAATTAATACCAAAAAGAAATGACAGGAATTATACAACATTAATATATATCTTATCAAATACTTCACTTTGTGTATATTTTCTATCTGTTAATTCAATGCATTACGCATTAACACAATGAAACATCAAGCATCTCATATAATTGTGGTATACAATATATTTTAACGAGTTTTCTTCTTTATAAAACCGAAGCATTGTTTCCAGTTTATTTGCTTTGTGAATTATGAATGTTATGTCATCTAGAAAAGCAAAAATAAAGTAATTTGGCTTAACGTAGATAGTAGAATGAGTTCGAGACGTATTATTACTTAAGGAATATATGTGGGAGTTATATACAAGCCAAATTAAGTTTAGCGAGATAATGTGTAGAATAACTGCAATAACGTCTCATTTACACGTTACCAGGGGAAAAGCTCCTTTCTATTGTTCTTTTGACACATAACGGAACTGTAACTGTAGCTGTCATTATTTTCCAGTTTAATATATGAGCGACTTCGGGAAGTGTCTGAAATAAGCGAGATAAAATGGAATATGGAGCTCGGATTTTTATATTTTAGCTAGTTAATATGAATATAAAAACATTTTTAGGTCCAAATGTGGTTTGGCATGGGTCCCTCGAGCCCTACGAGACCAGCTGTTGTTAAAGGAAACCCGCATCATGGCATCTCTGGATTGAATCCAAAAAAGGTTTTACGGAAGTTTACAAGAAAGTGGTAATATATATATATATATATATAATATATATATATATATATTTGTGATTAAGTAAACTATTCAATGCATAACTCTTGAATTATTATAGATATAATTATATATATGCATTTCCTGTAAAAGTTATTGGCTAAGAAAATGTAATTCATTTGCATACTTATTAAAAAAATTATAACCAAAGTAATTAAGGATTGTTTTTAAAACTTTTTGAAAAATGTGGTAATTAAGGAATTATTTTTCCTACTTGCACACATGAATAAGTGATGTTTCCTATATTTTAGTTTAGGAATGTTAGCAAACATTTTTGGCTATGGAAAGACCAGGTCTGGCTTAAAACATTTCTAAAACTACACAAATGCTATTGGATATGTATTTCTTAGTTTTCAAATGGAGTTAAATGAAGAAAACGGACAAGTAAAAAAATATTTAGACATCCAGTAAGAAACCGGTGGGAAATGATTTGATTATTATTTTAATCATTGGTTTCAGAAAAACCTGGTGGTCAAGGTTGCCGAATGGTTATCGTGGATGGTGTTGTCGAAGATTGGCCATGTAGAGGGGCAGATGCACGTTAATCTGTCGAGACTTAAAGAGTCCGGTGGGCGTGTTGTGGAGTTCCAGCTCAGGGGTGTCCTCGTAATGAGCATATTCAAAATTATGAGGTATGCCTCCGAAAACCATTGTGTTGCTTCAACATGAAAAACCAATGAACAATAAATCAATCTGCAAGAAAAAATATTGTTAACATCTAAATAAAAAAGAGGACCCCCATAGCACAGTCATCAATGTTATTACTTTTGTATTTCATTTATAACAGATTGTGAAACAGATTCAAACACCAACTGCAGTAAAGTACAATCGTGAAAAAATAATAGAGTCAATGCATGTGATAAAAATACATTCGTACATCCAATTACTTACGTTAGGGGAAGTGAACCTTATGATATTAAAGTACAAGAACAAAAGTCGCTATCGTCATTTAACTCTTGTTTAAGATTAGAAATCACTTAACGAAAATAAAAACTTTTACGGAGATCTATAGTGATGATATTTCAAACTAATGACATAAAAAGATGTCGCTTAAACACAGTAAGAAAAAGCATTTTAAGAAATCGTTGCAGATACTATTTTACTGACTATCAGCAAAAACCTTTTGTAATTCAATCAAATGTATCACGGAAAGAAAATATTTGATTTAGTTGAATGGTATACAAAACACAATAGGTAATATTGTTTTATTCTAACTAAAGAAAATATATAGAATATTTTGCAGCCAGCCAACCTTCACCTGTATTTGCCAATAATCTGGAACATAGATAAAGTAAAAAATACCACAAGAGAAAGTTTACTATTATAAATAAAACCATAATCTATTAATTTAAAACGATAAAATCAAGCCTACTATTAATTACTAGTATATGTTAAAATCGATGCATAAAACTAGATGATAAACTTACTAAGTGTGTGCAGCATCAGACCATGTTTCCCGCGCGATAGAAAGAAGTATAACAGTACTTCTGCTAACTGTATATATATATATATATATATATATATACGCCGGGTTAAGGCGTCCGATGCGGGACGCTCAGAGACCCCATAAAAGGTGTCGGTTGCTCTAGACAGCAGGACGGTGGCCACAGAAGTCGGCATCCGCTAAGGAGTGTGTAACAACTCACCTGCCTAAGCAACAGGTCCTGAAAATGGATGGCGCTCCAGCGTCGAGCCCATACCCGGCCCTTTCTCTAATGTTGATTGAAAGGAGAAAGGAGTAGGAGGGTCGCGGCGGAGTGCGTAGAAGGTCAGGGCGCGATCCCGACTGGAGCCTCCGCCGGTGCAGATCTTGGTGGTAGTAGCAAATATTCGAGTGAGAACCTCGAAGACTGAAGCACGGCGAAGGGTTCCATGTGAACAGCAGTTGAACATGGGTGAGAAGGTCCTGATTCACTTCCTAAAGGAAACTTAATGGTCTCTATTATTTGAGTAAGAGACGTATTGGGGAGAATGGGAAAAGGGTTAATATTCCCTTACCCGGACACGGAGATAGGGGCACCAGTGTCCCAAGTGCGGTAACGCAAACGAACTCGGCGACGCCGTCGGAGGACCCGGAGAAGAGTTGACTTTTCTTCGTAAGAGCTCGTGTCCCTGGAATCTCGTCACGAGGAGATAGGGACGCTGTTCTCGTAAGAGCACGGTCGCTGCTGTCGTGTCCGGTACGCCTCCGCCGGCCCTTGAAAAACCGAGGGAGAGAGTGTGATTTTCGTGCCGGTCCGTACCCATATCCGCAGCAGGTCTCCAAGGTGAACAGCCTCTAGTCTCTAGAACAATGTAGGTAAGGGAAGTCGGCAAGTTCGATCGCTAACTTCGGGAAAATGATTGGCTCTTGTGTTTCCGTCCTGGCGGACCTCTTTTGCCGTATTTCGTCTCGTCTTTTTCGGGGACTGACCGCTCTTTCCGGGGTGGTCGGACCTCATTAGGATGAATGGAAGAGGAAAGAGGGTGACCCTCTCCTTCGAGAGTTGGGCTTGTGCCGCCGGACAAAATGGAAACGAACAAGAACTGGCACGGACTAGGGGAATCCGACTGTCTAATTAAAACACTCAATTTTTAACTACAATAAGATTAATGATTTGCAAAATAATACCTTTCTTTGTAATTGTAAGGATTATCCTGAATTTATAAACGAGCATCACAAACATGTTGTAACAGGCAATTTAAATATTGTTGAAGATAATACTCTTAGGGAAATTATGTCAAAAGGTACTAGTTATAGATTAATAATCTCCAATAATAATAATGCCATAAAAAACAAATCTCTAAAGATATTTGTAACTTCATTACTAAATTAGCAATTAAATACACTTTTCCTATTGAAGCTTTTTCCTTTGCTTCATTATTCCTTTTCAAAAATATTTTTATTTGTATTTTGTTAGGATTCATTTCCTTTCATATTTTCTATTATTTTTATTTTATTTTTCTTTTGGTTGCAAATTACACGTGGTTGGTTTTAGGCCTAACTTTTCAATATTGGTATGTTTTCCTGTTATGTATAAAATTTCTGCTGAACAGGGGAAGGTAGGATCCATAAAATATATTTAACCCTAATTTTGCTGGTCCTAATTCAGCAACAGCTTTAGAAATCATAACAGGTCTTCATTTTAGTCTATTGACTCTTTTGGCTTCTTACATTTTAAAGTTCTAATTATGTTCTATGTTATACATACGCTTAGTTAATTCTTCTATAATAGACTCTTCCATCATTTTTAAAGTGTGTTTCTTTAAATCTGGTTTAAATCTTCTAGCTTTGTTAGTGATATTATTTTGTATTATCAATTTTATTATGCCATGTATTTCTTTCATTTTATGTTACTATATATATATATATATATATATATATATATATATATATATATATATATATATTATATATATATATATATATATTTATATATATATATATTTATAATATTCCCTTTAATTTCTCTCAATAACTTTTAATTTGTAATGGTCTTGACCTACAAGAATTCCTCGTAAATAACTATTGCTTCCTCTCCTGACGGTATTTAACCGTAATCGTATCTTTTGGAAAATTAACAGGTTGCGCTATTTTTAAAGAAGACATTTTTAGCATCAGAATTTATGGAACGATATCTTTCCACCAATCATAGCCTCCATCTGCGGAAGTCACGAGGATTACCAGACTTCCTGTTGCCGCCTCATAAAAATAGCCAAAATGTCATAAAAATTCAAAATGTCTTGCCTTGTCTTCAAAATGTGCAACTAGCCACAACCCGTCTTTTGTCTTTACTTTTTGTTGTGTCGTCCATCCCCTGTTTTGTATCAAAATGTGAATAAAAGTGGAATAACTTGCAACAAGATGACTATTCATCCCTCCAAAATCTTCTCACTACTACTCTCAGCCAAATGATCATATATAGTATATAATATAAATAAATCTATGTCCAGTTTTAAATGCAATCCTCTTATCATTTTCCCTTGCATCAAACTTCAGCTTTCTTTTAACCGAGGTCATTAGGAATAAATAAAACTTAAATTTATTTCAATAATTATTTTAAAATTCCTTTTTCCATCCAATTCTAGGAATCGATTTCCTGCCCCAATTTCTATGCAATCCACCCGATTCTAGCGTACCTATTTCAATTAAATAAATAACGAAATCGCGCTTTAAAATAATTCAGTGATATTTTCCTTTCATCCTGAATGTCGCGATATCACTCGAAACTGTTTCTTATTCATAAATTACGTACGAAGACCTTTCAATGAAAAGGAAATTTGAAATGCATCAAACAGAATATATTTGAGGAGTCTTTCAGTGAAATTTGGTATCGAGACCCAAGTAAAGTATTGCTGCATTTTAGGACGGGGAAATAAAAGCGAGGTATTTTCTTTTTATTTGCTTGATTTCGTGAAAAGTTTATGCGAAACGTCGAAATGCACTTTAAGTCAAATCCAACCAGATGGTCAGCACACATAAACACTGCTTGCCTCTTAGGCTACACTAAAGGTTCTTCCTTTACGGTTTGTTTACTTAAGTGAAAGCCATGCGACCGAGGTTGCTGGGTCCACGAATCATGGGAAAGTGTGTGCGGTTGGTGTTAAACTTATTTTTTGTTTGGCGATCTTTTATTTTTATTTCGATGTCCGACCCGTGAGACATGAAAAAAATCGAGACATTTCAGATATTGTTACTTAAAGGATGGGATCAAGCTCAGTAATATTTATACGAGTCTTGTTATGTGATACCTCATTCTCTCAGCTCCGGTGGCGAAGAGGTAGTGCGCCCGCTTAGTAACCTAAGATTTTGGGTTCGACCCCGGCTGGAGTCAATAGATTTTCAAGATAGGAAAATAGTAGGCACGCATACCAAATGATTATGTGGCATGTAAAAATTACTTGAGTATCAATTTGGCTCTGGTACTCTCGGCCAATTTAAATCACGGCAATATTTAGCATCCGACGAGAGCTTGAATTAAATTAATTCAAGTGTCTGAACTTGGTAGCAACAGCCGCCTCTAGATGGTCCCCCACTTAAATGGCTCTCATATTTGGGGACTTGCTGTGTCTGCAAAGACTTAGTTGCTAATATGCAGCCCATTAAAAATTATGTTTCTTAAGAAACATTTTCAACTGCTATTTTCCATGGACGCTTACGTTTTAAAAATGCGAAGCCTTATTTACTATCTACAGGGTGTTTCATAAATGATGGGAGTAACTTTAAGGGGTGATATTACACATCAAGACGAGTAATAGTAAATAGGAAACCAAGTGTCCCAAACGTTTTCCGAAGGAGAAAGGCGCCAACAAAGTTTAGGGTCCTAAATTCAAATGATGATAAAAAAACGGAAAAATGGATCGATTCATTTGCGGTTTTCACTAAAATCATTCTTTAAATTAGTATATTCTTTAAAAAAAGTTTTAAAGACAAAGTTAAAAAATGCCGTTAGAGGGCGCTCTAGACTTTGGAGTACCGAACAACTACCTTTTACCAGTATTTTTTTTTATTTTGTTAAATGTTTACAAAAGCTTAGATTTTAACTTGAATTTTGAGCGCAAAATTGAAACCATCGGGAGCGGTTAAGTGGCGCAAATGTAACCGCGTTCGGGGGGGGGGATTAAAATGCTCGTATGTAATGATCAAAATAAAAAACGACAAAGTAAACTTTAAGAGGCGATAGTACAACATCAAAACAAGCAACATTCATGAAAGAAATCATACTTGTAATTTTAACCCGAAGGTGATAGAGGGCGCTGAAACAGATTTCGTTTTAGAGACAAAAAAGGAAACAAAGAACATTTACGTTATAAAAAAAAGTTTAATTAGAATTCATTACAATAGCTGCTCGATACACTGACCATTAGAGGCGATGCATGCGGTAAAACGGCGAAGAAGGGATTCACGAACCCTCTGAAACACGCCAGGAGTATCGCGCACCTCTCCTGCAGCTGCCGAAAGTCTGGCAACGAGTTCTTTTGCAGATTCGATAGGAGTCTCATACATAATACTCTTCAGGTGTCCCCACAAAAAGAAATTCAGGCATGAAAGATCGGGCGATCGCGCTGGCCAAGGGACAGGACCACCTCGCCCAATCCATTGATTTGGAAAGGTTGCGTTTAGATAATTTCACACCTCTGGCGCAAAATGAGCTGGTGCTCCATCCTGCTGGAACCACATTACTCACCGGATACGAGGGTGAACATCTGTCATCATTTCCGGCAGCACATGTTGCATAAAGGTAAGATATTTTTTCCATCCGGGCGTTCTGGCAGAAGATAAGGTCCAAGTAGATGGTCACCAATTATTCCTGCCCAAACATTTATGGAAAATCGTCGCTGATATGCATGTATAGAAGACGCATGTGGATTTACATCTGCCCATTGGTGGGAAGTGTGGGTGTTAAATGTACCGTCACGTGTAAATGTACATTCATCTGTAAAAAGCACAGTTGTACCAAAATCGGGATTTAGAGTGTTCTTCTGCAGATACCAGCGAGCAAAATCCATTCGACGAGGAAAATCCCTTTGAGACAGTTCCTGGACTCGTTGGACATGAAAAGGATGCATACATTCATTATTTAGTACTCGCCATGTCGTGGAGGGTGATACTTCAATTTGACTAGCCACTTCTCGCGTGCTTGTATTTGGATGATCAGCCACCATATCCAGAATATTTTCTTCCACAGCTACCGTTCTGTTAGACTTCACACGGCCTGCATTTGAATGTGCACCAAAAAAGGATCCTGTCTCACAACTGTCTGTGCAAGCGCACAAATGTTTTATCATTGGGCAACCGCGTTACGTTTACTTTCGTTACGTTTGTACCGTGATTTACACTTGCACACTCGGGTCAGTGGCTTTTATCTTAATAACAATTTGCATATGCTTTCTTCTTCTTCCCCATATCACAATTTCATATTCTTCTTCCAGAAACTTTCAGCTAAAACGCTTGCATGGATAAAATTTGAAGATGCTCTAACACGTTTGCGTTTGAATTCAAATCATGCATTTTCTAATCAAAGTTGATTGTTTTTATGTTGTACTATCGCCTCTTAAAGTTTGCTTTATCGTTTTTTATTTTGGTTATTACATACGAGCATTTCAATTCCCTCCCCCCTGAACGTGGTTACATTTGCGCCACTTAACCGCTCCCGATGGTTTCAATTTTGCGCTCACAATTCAAGTTAAAATCTAAGCTTTTGTAAACATTTAACAAAATTTTAAAAAAATACTGGTAAAAGGTAGTTGTTCGGTACTCCAAAGTCTAGAGCACCCTCTAAAGGCATTTTTTTATTTTTGTCTTTAAAACTTTTTTTAAAGAAAATACTAATTTAAAGAATGATTTTAGTGAAAACCGCAAATGAATCGATCCATTTTTCCGTTTTTTATCATCATTTGAAATTTAGGACCCTAAACTTTGATGGCGCCTTTCTCCTTCGGATGACGTTTGGGACACTTGGTTTCCTATTTACTATTACTAGTCTTGATGTGTACTATCACCCCTTAAAGTTACTCCCATCATTTATGAAACACCCTGTATATAAAAATAACTCTCTATATAAAAAAAGTGTTTCGTGATGCTGT